GCGCGCTTTGCTTTAGTTATGTTATAATTTGTAATAGAGCACGTTTGAAAGTTTATGCGGTGTGTGACAATAAAATGGTGGCCCGATTAGGCTCTCAAAAGATGAGTCATTGCTCACGTTTATGCCAACTGAGGAGTTCTTGCTCTAGAAGAAGTATTAATTTCAATTTGTCGGAGCTCTAGGGTAATAACTTTTCGTTTCGATGGCAAAACTCAATGACAGATGTTTCTGTTACTTTACGGCCGCCATGTTGGTGCCCCTCTAAAAGGGCACCAGCATGGCCTCTCCATACAAAGCTCTATAAATCTGGGTGATACACTTTTCCTTATAACACGAGAATGAATAACCGCACAGGCCTAAATCTTGGCGAGGTTGTTTATATATCAATCATCTATCATATCCCAGCTTCTTGACTTAATTTATTGAATGGTTGCGATTTTTATTTTTGATGGCGTGACAGTGTCCCTTCGTGTGAAGCCATTTTTGTCAAAAAAATCTAGTCGTAGCCACTTGTCCCACCAATTCAACCCGATTTCAACTGAAAGGGACTTGTCCCCTTGAACCCTTCATGAGAACAATTTTTTAGCGTGTTAAGCCCCCATAATTCCGCACGAACTCTGTTTCGATGTAGAGTGTTTTTTAGTCTCGGGAACTTGCTCCCTAGCAAGAACAACCCCTCATTTTCTCTTGGTCAGGGGTGGTGTTGGTAATAGGGGTGAAAGCAGGGGTGGGGTTGAGGTTTTGGTTAGGGTGGGTATGATAAAAGAGTGAATAATAATAGTTAGATTAATTAAGCGGATTTTCTTCGGAATGTAACATCAGAACGAGCAACATTTCACAAGAAGACTCTTTAGCCTATTCAACTCGTTTATTTATTTATTTTCATTTATTCCACTTCATTCTTTCGTTGACAGCCATACCAAATAGCGTGCCTCGTTTTAATTAGTGCCCTAACACTTGCAAAAACCAACCCCTTCCCCCATCTACATCCTGGACTCTCTGCCTCAAAGAATGAGGTTAAGAAGGAGACTTCCTTCTTCGCCGAGAGGAACCTGGAGACGAATTTGATGTGACACCTGTTGCCCCTGTTGCCACCAGTACTAAACTAGCTTATGCCGCTGTTTATATTTGTGTTGTCTGCCGTCGTATTTGAACGCTAATTACCTCATTGTTATGCGCGAGTTAGGTGATATGATCTCGCTAAACCCTCGAAGAGAGTTTTCAATATTTGGTTATCTGTGGTTGTTAGAATTTTTACTTCTTATTGTTAGTTTTTTTCCCTGATTCGATTCACCCTTGGCAGCATTTTCAAGGTAGGACTAAATAGTTGTATTTTTCCTTCCGCTTTCTTTATAATTATGTTTCATTTGTTCATCGGTTTATGTAGTGAGAGCAAAGGTTATTACATATTCCAGGTGTCCATAGTTTTCTCTTGGTTAGAAAAATCTTAAGGCCGCCGTGGTTCTCGCCCACTACCAACCCAGAGGTAGTTCTTTTATGTGATGAAGCTGTCACCTTTAGTTCTACAGTGACTCATCACTCGTTTCGCGTACACTTTAAAATCTTGACTTGTCTGGTTCACCTGGTTGTATTCAATTAGTTTCATTGCCTTAATTTTACTGAAATCTTTTGTGTGTGATCTAATTTGGATGGGCGATTCCCCAGGACGGACTCTGCACGGATGAAAAAATGCGTCTGGCCTTGATTCAATGTATGATGCGTTACATGATGTACGATACACCTTCCCAGAAAAATACCCTAAGAGTAAGAAGCAAATCGTATTGATGTGTTTTATATAGAGGCCCCAGAAATGGATTCTTTCAGTAAGTTTTGTATCTAAACATAGCTGATCAGCAGAAGTCAAAGACTTCTGTGATACAGCAATTTACCTGCGGTTTATTTCAACTGAAGTAAAGTAAGTCAAACGGCGAAAAGGAACATGTCATATACATAGAACCCACTTGGGAACTTCTTATTTAAGTGTTTCCATTCTGGAATAATCTTTACCTGTCCATATTTGACGTTTAATTGACGTCTCAGTTACAAACAGTTACGTTTTGTTGGGAAAAAAAATTAAAAAACAAATGACATAAACTGCTGGGAAATTTTTTTCTGAGATCTCCATGCATACAATCTGGTGGTAGATCAAGACATTCTCTATTATACTCTCGTAGCCTGTCAAATTTCAATAGTATAAACAGTGATACAGTATAACAAAGAAAATTACAGCTGGTGACCAATTGAAGTTAATGAGTTCAACGAGAGAAGAGAATCGGACTTGAAAGTGATTTTACTTTACTGTTCATTCGTAAAAATAACCATTTGTTAATAGAAGGAAAAAGGCGACGACGCCTGGCAAAATACTTTGTTACTCGGCTTTTTTCATTTTCCCATTAATTGTTTTCCACCTGTTTCCGAATTGACTCTACCCAAAGCGCAATAGGTTTGGAGATGCGTTGGAGTACGTACCTGACCAGAGTTATGGTCCCCTAGCCAATTCAACCAAAATGTGAGTTTCCGAAAAAAAGATGTGCATAGTCGTGGCAACCTAAGCTAAAGCTGTGAGCGATGGTCATCTAATATATAGTGGTCAACGCAACATTATAAGACGTTGTAAGGGATTATTTTCGATCGGTTTTAGGACGGTTCAAAATACTAGAAGGCTCCTGATCCTAATTCCACAGTGTTTTGCTTGCTGTCTGTTCGCTTATTCTGCTTGTCATATTTGTTTGGTTCTTTGAAAGTTACCAGGCACTTATGATTTCCCTCTAGTAATTACGCGCAAAAACGGGATTTTCTCTTGCTTTTCCAGTAATTGTCCAATTCTATAAGTTGGAAAAGCTAGTTAGTATTCTAAATTCTGTTGGAAGTCGTTTTCTAAACGTTTTGCAATGATCAGGGCTGGCCTGGGTTGTTCAAAAGCCGGTTAACATTAACCCAGGATTAATAGTTAACCGAAGTATTAATTTTTCAGTTTTCACTGCTTATGTTTTGTGCAGTTTGAGATTAGTCAAATTCAAAACTGAAAGACAAACAGTACAAACAGAACACTGCAGCGAAAAGTTACAAAACTTAAATCAAAATGCTTGCTAATCCTGGGTTAGCTTAATCAGGCTCTGAACAATCCGACCCAGATTGTAAAATCAACACTCAC